AAAAAAAACAGAAGAAGCAGAATTGGTTTTACAGCAAAACTGAGAACAGGGTTAAGAAATACCTCTTTTGTTTCCTCTCCCCACACATTCATACCTTTTCCCATTATCAGCATACCTCACCCAGATGACACATATGATGAACCTGTACTGACACATTATTATCTCCAGAGTCCTTGGTTGACATTAGGGCGCCTCTTGTTGGTGTAGAGTCTGTGGGCTTAGGCGCATGTACAGTGACCAGCACACACCATCACATTATTATGTAGAGTACCTTCACTTTCCCTACCCTAATTGTCCTCTCTGCTCATATTTGTTTCCTCCCCTCTGTACCTTCAGCACATGCTGACCTTTATTTAATTCTTAAACCATCTTTGTAGTTTTGACTTTTCCAGAATGCTATATTAATTAGACTTTGGCATCTAGAGTATATGGATCTTTTGTACTTAGTTAAGTTTCTTTCAGGTTTTTTTTTTTTTTTTCATGTCTTGATAGTTTTTTTTAAATATCGCAGAATAATAGTTCCTTATTTGAAGTTTTCATAGTTTTCTCTATTCGACTACTAAAAGATATCTAGGTTGCTTCCAAGTTTTCCAAACACAAATAAAGCATGTTTAAATGTTTGTATGAACATGTTTTCAAAGTCCTTGGTTGAATAGCAAGGGTAGGATTGCTTAATTATAGAACATGTTTAGTATTGTAAGAAAACATCAACTTGGCTTGCAAACTGGCTTTCCCTATAATGTTTCCATCCCGAATGGCCCTTCCTATGACTCTGCATCCCTGGCAGCACTTGACGCTCTCAGTATCCACATTTACACCCTTTTAAAAGGTGTAAATGTGTCTTCATAGTTCAGTTCACAGTCACCTAAAAGTATATCTATGTATTTTTGCCATTTGCCTGTTTTTGTTTGTTTGTTTGTTTGTTTGTTTGTTTTTATAGGTGTCAAAGTTTTTGGCCAATCTTTTTTTTAATTTTATTTTTTTAAATATTAATTACAGTTTATTTACTTTATATCCCAGCTGTAGCTCCCTTTCTCAATCCCTCCCTGTCCCACCCTCTCTCCCTCATCTCCTCCTATGCCCCTCTCCAAGTCCACTGATAGGGGAGGTCCTCCTCCCCTTCCATCTGATCCTAGTTTATCAGGTTTCATCAGGACTGTCTGCATTGTCTTCCTCTGTGGCCTGGTAAAGCTGCTCCCCACTCAGGGGGAGGTGATCAAAGAGCCAGCCCGAGTTTATGTCAGAGACAGTCCCTGTTCCCCTTATTAGGGAACCCACTTGGACACTGACCTGCCATGGGCTACATCTGTTCAGGGGTTCTAGGTTATCTCCATACAAGGTCGTTGGTTGGAGTATCAGTCCAGAAAAGTCCTCTGGGCCCAGATTTTTTGGTTCTGTTGTTTTTGGCCAATCTTAAATCAGGCTATTTTTCCTACTGTTGAGTTTTAAGTTTTTTATGTTTTTAAGCAACCTTTTTCAAATGAATGCATTTGCATAATTTTCCTTCTAAGCCTGTGACTTCTCTTTTTGTTCTCCTTTTGTGTCTTTCACAGAGCAGAAAAATTTTATCTCAGATAAATTCATCTTAGTATTACCCATTTCTTGCCAAAAGTTAGTTTTCATCTTTAATGAAATGACTTTAAAGATAACACACATTTCTGTGACACCAAGACTACATTTTCAGACTCATGTTAAGTTCCAGAAAATTATATCCATAATTACCATGAGTGCCACAATTTCAAGCAGTAATTTATGTTAGAAGGCAAACAAGTTCAAGAAAGCAGCTATCAAAAGAAAGAGCCCCAGACAAGGCAAATTCCAGGACAACACATTAAAGGTGCTGCTGCTTCTTCAAAGGGTTCTTGACATTCAGGAAACACCAAGACAGCCTAAGGCTGTTCCCATGCCAGCACCAGGAACAGCACCTCCTACTATTGGAGCACCTACAATGATGAATTTGGCAACCTTATTGGTGTTTG